CGCACACCCGGACTGTGTACTCCTTGCCGCTCCACTTCACCGTCAGCGTCAGCTCCTCCTCCGCCGCCGCCGACGCCGACGCCGCCGCAGCCACTGAAGAAGAAGAAGAAGAAGGCGACGCCATTCTCTCTCTCTCTCTCTCTCTGTCTCCTCGGAGGAGGACGATCGGGGGCATTCGTGGAGATGTAGAAGACGGATTTGGGTCGGACCCGCACGTGCGAAACCCGCAAGAGACGACCCGTCCGAAAACCCGACCCAACACACCCTATGTAATATAACCCGAACCCGGAGAATCCGAATCATCGGACTATCCGAATCCGGCCCAACTCGGAACCGAAAGAAGGAAGAATTTTGAATGGACCTAAAACCTGACGTGGCTCGAACCGATGCAAGCCCGAAATCTGTGCCGAAATTTTACAAATCGAAATGACTTGTGTGCTCATATGACTCGTAATTGATTTTGATTAATTTGAAATTGATCTAATTCATCGATTTGCTACCTTGACCGATACCGAAATCGAAATGAACTTGCATTTGAACTAACCCAACCTCGAGAGAACTTGGGACTAGTAATGATCCGAACCAAACCGCATTGAGGGACAGACAAAAAGAAACTGCTTAGCCTGAAAATATTCAAATCTAGCACGACCTACTCTTGAAATAGATCAAAATGAATTGTAAAGGTATAGAACGTGAAACCGAAATTAACCGAATCGAAATTGACGTGACCCATTTGCCACCTCTAGTCCCAAATCCAAATTCAATTAGGCATTCCAAAATCTACGACTTGCCACGTCAGATTTTGTTGAGAGACAAATTTAGGAAAAATGAACAAAAAACTGCAATATTGGGTATTTGATCTAAGGGATGAGAAATTCTTGTAGGCTAGTTTTTATACACCGGGTGCAATCATAGCCATTGATTTTTAATAGGCCACCACATGAGATTAACATGATTTGTATTGGATCATTCAGATCTCGGACAAGCTTTTCTTCTATCGAGCTTTATAACTCCCTCAAAATGCATATTCGCGGGAAGTTTTAGTACATGACTGCACCAATAATTTTAGTATCATTTTCGTATTTTACATTTGAACTTCAAAGCTTATGATCCTTCAAATTCATGGCATGAATTTAAAGTTGTGTCTACGTACTTGATGCACCAAAAGGTTGATATTAAGCCGCATAACTTATTTGAGCCTAATGATCAAATCCCCCCGTGTGGACAACGTGTGTAACGGAAAATGTGTGTGTCCTCGACTACAGCCTCGAGCGATTTATGGCCATAGAGTGAACTATCCGCATGTCCCCGATCTAGACCGGCATATTGACGGTTATTTGAATATAGAAGAACAAAATATAATACGATAAGATAGAATGAGATAGAAATAAAATAGTAAGGAGGGGACAAGTTCACTACAACCTTGAGCGATTTACGGCCATAGAGTGAACTATCCGCATGTCCCCGATCTAGACCGGCATATTGACGGTTATTTGAATATAGAAGAACAAAATATAATACGATAAGCTCCTTACCAAAAAAAAAATATAATACGATAAGATCCTTATCCCAAAAAAAATATAATACGATAAGATAGAATGCGATAGAAATAAAATAGTAAGGAGGGGACAAGTTACCTACTCTTAATGATCAAATTGATGACTACTGCAAGAGCGATTTTAACGCCGCTATGCGAACGAGTTGTCTACTCTTAATGATCTAATTGATGACTAATGTATGAGCGATTTCAACACCGCTATGCGAGTTGCTCGCACATTAGAGATCACAACATAGAGAGAGAGAGAGAGAGAGAGAGAGAGAGAGAGTAGGGACGGCCATGATGGTGACCTTGGCCACTGAAGTCTTGTCTACATTATCAATTAGCGGGTAGCTCGGATGAGCTCTTACCCATGGCGAAGACAGAATGGAGGAGAAGGGCAAGAAAGAGGAGGAAAATTGGTGAACATTCACTACCAAGGTGATCAACCGAGTGGTAAGGGCATCTATTTTTCACTAGGTTATAAATTTGATTCAATAGTAAGCGAACATATGAATGACTTGTGCAATATTATTTAGTTATGACGTACTTCATGTGGAGAGACTTTCTGACTGCTAGCATCTTAATGAAATTGTGACAACGAGCTTGCTAACCTCATACGTTTGAATTGCAGGTAGTGCGGAATAGTTACGACTCAAACCGAACACAATGTCAAATGCTAGCATCTTGAAAACGAACGTAAACGGCTCGAGGTTAGAAGGTTTCATTGGTGGATTCGGTCGCCGGCGTCCTCCACGACTCCAAGGGGACGATCGTCTCCTGGCTTCGCGAAGCCCGTCCGAGCCTCCTCGGGCACGGGTGCCGAAACCCGAGCTCTAAAAGAGGGTTTGTCGTGTTTGATTGGGGGCAGGAGAAGTGCTTCAACCGAACTCAAAAATTGATCTGAGGGTAAGAACTCCATGAGTGATAGCTTATCTGTTTGCACGTTGTATGGAAGATGCCTCACGGAGCCCATGGGCCCTCCAAAGCCTATTCGAGGAGTGCAAGATGCTGCGGGTCCAATTACAAAATGTCCTCGTTTTACATTGCCCTTGAGAAGCCAAACCAAGTTGCGGATTGGGACCAGGGAAATGAATTCGAGAAGACAGGGGGCTCGAAAAGAGGACTGATTTTACGGCCCCATATACCGGAACCAAGAAACGGATAGCTTCAGAAGTCATGGATGAATAAAGGCACATGTGGAAAGAGCACCTGATCAGGGAACGGATCAATGAGGAAGTAGCTAACGAGATTCTTTCTTTACTGGTCGCCGAGCTTCAGCGATGGCCAGCGATCGCCACAGGCATCAATCGGCGAGGGTTGCCCTCCTCGGGATCTCGTCCGAGGCTGGTGAGATCACCCCTCGCCAAATCCCAGTGAGGGTAATCTTTGCCTGAAACCGGCGAGGTCGCCCCTCACTAGATCTTGGTGAGGTCGAGTCTCGCCCTCGCTAGCCTTTGGTGAGGGTGAGCCTCATCCGAGGCCGGCAAGGTCACCTTTCGCTAGATACCGGCGAGGGTGACCTCGCTTGAGATCGGCGAGGGTGATCCTTGCCGGTCATCACCTTCGGTCGATCGCCGGTCATCATCGAGACTTGGCGACCGGTGAAGAAAGAACGAAACAAAAAAAAGAAAAGAAAAGGAAAGAAAAAGTAAAATATAAATATAAAAAAAAGTCAGAAAAATTAATAAAACTTTGCAAAAATTTTCCACGTCAGCACTGACCGTATCACGTAGGATGACCGGCGTTCACATCAGCGATTCCCTACCGAAACTGGCCAAATGGACTATATTAGCAAATTATCAAAATGTTTAGAACTCAGTTAGCCAAATTGAAATGTCTAGAACTGAATTGACGTAAATACAATAAGTTTAAATTTTTATTTTTTGCTAGTCTTCGTTTGTTAAGACCTAATTAAGAAAAAAGGTGCACACGCCATCCTCATCCGAGCTTAACAACCTCGCTGTCGGGGCGGGACCACGTGCCCCTCTCAACCCGCCGACCAGACGCGGCGATGAACTGGAATTCAGACGTAATCGAAGGCTCAGCAGATGGAAAGATGCGTGGAGTGCGCGTGCAGGGTCGTGTCCACACGCCCATGCTTTTCGCCACGCCCCGTCGACGCATGAAGCTTTAGTCAAACCCAAAGCGGAACGGGCCCACGAGGCAAACAGTTCAGACAGCTCCGAAGCATCGAACTATATTGTAATGTTTAAGAAGAGAGTGAGAAATTGCATTCCCATTGGACGAATTCCCTCGATTTGACCGTGACCTCGTTACATGCTAGGACTCCATTAATTGTAAGTTATTTTTTTTAATTTTTAGGAAAAGGGAATGAGCCCACGACATGGTTATTTTGAGAATTGTTTGAAACCGACCATATGTTGTCCACCTCGTCAGTCCATCTTATTATGTTTTGATCATTTTATTTCGCGTGAATCGCCTGTCATTTTACATTTTCTTTTTATAGATGCAAGATATGCGGAAGAGAGAAATACGGGATTTCTGTGTATTTCGATGTTGAGCAATGAAGAGTACATAGGTTTTATTAGTTGATTATCTGAAGCAACTTATCAATCGAGGATACGCATAATTAAAGGGAGATTTATGCCCAATTTTTGAGAAGTACGGAGAATCCAGACAGATACTCTAATTATCTCTTAACAGGGGAAAAATGCCCTAAAGAAATCTCTCTTAACATGAATGGCTATACTCCTTTGTCAAAGTGAAAAGCAAGCTCCATCTCCAACGCCCACATTAGTAAATTTGCCCTTTAATTTGGAGGAGCACACGCAGACAAATTGGTCAACCTCCTGCCTCAACCATTGACCGTGCCGATGTATTCGCTCCTCGTGCTACTCATTCAATTATTGTCTCCACGAATACACATGCTAATTTACGTTTTTGATATATATATATATTTCGCATTCGCAATTAAAAATGCAATAATATATGTATTCCTCATTCCTCCATGAATTCTTTGTTTGTTTTCTGTTTTGTTGGTTCCACGTTTTTTATCCTAGGCGACCGAAATTTCCCCTTTTGAATACATATGCGATTGGATTTATACGGCACCCACCGAGATATGAGAATCTTGCTGATGTATATTATTGTCCTATACGTACAAAACCCTTGGTATAATATAATCACTGTCACTATGATAATAGACAAAGAAAACATGCCCATACCTTTATATTATATACATTCTATCTAGATAAGGCAAAATCACATTTTTCTATGTGGACCGTCGATTAAATAAATGGGAAACCAACATTTAAAACACGTGTCTAGAACCTCACCGCCAATGCAGAGGCACCTTCTCAGCAATTGCAACGTGGGAGCCAATTATTTAAATAATAATAAATTGAATTATTGAGGATAATGATTTTTTAAAGCTAGCTCAACCTATATATATAATGTCTCCCACTTTGGTCATCTTCGCAACTATCCCACTCCAAGTCCTTCAATCATCAACAGTTCAAACCATACACAAGTCGATCACCACTTGATCGCCATTAGGAAATGCTTTCAGATATCATGAGTCCCTTTGAGACCCATCAGTGCGATCTCTTGAGATCGATCTGTGACCATCTTCTTCAGGATGATGATGATGTTGCTGAGAATGCTGCTGTTTTTGCACCGAGGAGTTCGAGCTTCAGCGATATTTTGCTGACGGAAAGTTGGAGCGAACTACCTCTGAAAGTCGACGACTCGGAGGACATGGTGGTGTACGGCGCACTGTGCGAGGCGCTCAGTTCTGGGTGGGTGATGCCTTCGGTTTCGAATCAAGAACTCGATTTTGAAGCGGCGACCGTTGATAATGACGCCATTGGTCGGGAGGTGCAGAGGAGACCGGAGGAGATGGTGGAGCGTGAGATGCGAGCGCCGGTCGAGAAGGCGCATTATAGAGGAGTGAGGAGGCGGCCGTGGGGGAAATACGCAGCGGAGATAAGAGACCCCAAGAAGAACGGCGCGAGGATTTGGCTCGGGACTTACGAGACGCCCGAGGACGCGGCGTTGGCCTATGACCGGGCCGCTTTCAAGATGAGAGGGTCAAAGGCCAAGCTCAACTTCCCTCACCTCATCGGTTCGGCGGAGTACGAGCCCGTCAGGGTCAGCCCAAAGCGTCGGTCCGCCGAGCCTAGCTCGCCGTCCAGTGATGGCGGGTCGACGGGGAGGAAGAGGAGAAAGAGAGAGGTCGATTCAGATGCTGAGGCGGAGTTTGGAACTACAATCCCTTTTCCCATTTTGGATATGGGCTTGTTAGGTGTGGACGAACAGTTTTTAATTTGATTGGACACACTGTCAAGACATTTACTTCATCAATGAAAAGTCAATCAGGCAATTTTGTGCTGTGCAAAGACTGTCGATTTTGTGTTGCGTCAGAAACCAGAACCGTTTCTAAATGTAGATCTACCAATATGAAAGGGAATAACAAAGTCAAAAGCTTTCTTAGTGCAATTACTCTTTCTTTTTCCGGAAAATAGCACGTTTTAAATTAAACATATAGAGAAATTTACAGAGTTTAGGTCTGGAGATAGAGTTCCCAGCTTTGTCAAGGTTCAAAGAAACATAGCATCCGGAGGGAGGTTCAAGCAGAATATAAGATGGTTCTTTCAGCATCCTTTCTCTCCGAGCAAGCTTATCCGCATCGGCTTTCCAGTAAGCATACCTGATTTTAAACACGTTTGAGAACTTCCAGGAGAGTCCTACAATCATTCATATACGAAGTGAAAACAATATTGATACACAAATTTGGTGGGAGTGTCGATACAGTTACCGGAGCATCCAGCTCCACCTCCAGATGAGTGGTGGAGGTCTTTAGCAAGTTTCAGACCATCTCCAACGGCCCAAAAGTTCAGCCGCAGAACTAGTGGTAGGGTCAATGTAGCGAGTAAAACCAGAAACCCGATTGCCATTTGCATCCCGGATTAAACCTCCCTGACCCGCAATACCGGGGTTACCAATAGCCAAGCCATCAATATTCAACTCGAAACAGTTCGAGGCCAGGGACGTCCATTGCACAAGGACAACTTCCCTCGCAGAATGGTGTTTCCTTTTCTGCAGAAACAGTATGGTGTTGCAGCAGCTCTCACAAGACAAAGTTCCTTCGAGTCACGACACTTGGCTTTGTCATCAAAGACTTTGTTATTGTGTCATAGCCAAAGTAACCAGAGAGCAAAGGGGAAAATGACATAGCCAAAGTAACCACAGAGCGAAGGGGAAAATGAGCTTCTCAGACTGTCCAGGTATCAGCCTAGAATAAAGATTTTTTTACCATCATTAGCAACATTCGTGACTCCCCCCTAAGGAGACCTCATCAGCAGCAAGGAAGGTGATGATTCAGTATGTATGCTTCGAAGTTGGTCTTTCATAAATTGGTACCATGTTTTCTTCTTTGGAATCGCATGCCTTGATGATTCAGTATATTTGCTTATGGAAAAGCAAAAGGTTAAGCGATGAGTTAACAGCATAAAGCACTCCAAACAAAATTCCCAATAAACACTAATTCTAAAGAGATTTTTAGGTATTTTCATGATACAATGTGCCCGTCTATGCAAACCGAGTTGGCATGCGATGATTGGCTTGAAGAGGCAGTGATCTCGTATTCCCGAACTTAAATATTTTTTAGATTCGACAGGCATTTTCGAGCACCTCTTGCTCTCGTAATTGCCTTTCATTAGTGGACTCTAAAGAAATAATGGAAACAACACAAGAATGTAAATGACAGGACAGAAAGAAAAAGAATGAATTTTTTTGGTAATTAAAACAAAAAAGAATGTTAAATTGTTGATAGTTTGGGTTCTCTATACTTTCTAGAAATTAAAAATACTATTTAGAATTTCAGAAATTACTTGGGCCCATTTGTTTTGCGAAAATTAGACATGACTAGAAAAGGAAAGTAATTCTTAGAAGAAGGATATAATTTTGGTTGGACTTTTAAAATGAGGTAGAACTCATTTTTGCACTCTTAATACTAAAAAACCATAAATATGCGTGTGATAGATAGACTCGACCTAGTGGTTGGACTTAGGACACAAGGGTCGGGCCCACGACCAAAGTTCGGTTCCAAGCACTTAGACCCTAGAACTTGGAAGCTGCATACAAAGATTTACAATAACTAGACATGGCGCCCAAGGACCATACTAGGGAAGGTGAACTTAGTATGTATCTAAAACTCTTCCCTCATACTCGAGACATCTAATTAAGGTCGAACTCCAACCCCGGTGCCCTAACTCGGAACCTCGAGGCTAGGACCTAGACTGCTTGGTCGCTCGTATATGAACCTATGCCCTTGATGCCGAAGCTAGAGCCTTGTGTACTTGATCTGGGATACCGACCTCATTGCCTATTCTGAAATGTGGGGGCAGGGACATCCCATGTCCAATCCTTTCGAGGTTGGACACTAAAGTTTGGAACTTGGCCTCAAGCTCATAGGTCCAGCCCTCGGGGTTTCGAGTTTGGCCAAGCAATGTCTGAATCGTAAGCATAAGGTCCAGTGTCCGAGTCTTAGCCTAAAGATCCCGAGTCAGACTCCAAGGTCCCAGTTGTGGCGTCAAAGTCTAGGTTCAAGCACTAGGGTGCCAAGTCCGCCCCTCGAGATCCTCAGCTAGGTCCTAGGGTCTTAGGTTCAAGCTTCGGACAATAGTATTCAAATATGTCTCAAGTTTAAATCTGTTGAAGAAACATGATCTAAATTAAAACGAGTAAGTCTGTTCGAATAAATAAAGTCCCAGCTGTGTCTTTGATCTTGTTTGTTCTTACATTAATTTTTCTACACGCGCTGCTCGAAGACGAAGAAATCAGCAAGCGGACGTGTTTGTCTTCTTCTATTGGCCGCTGAACATGAATGAAACGATGGGCGCACAAAAATGGACACTTTGGTTGTTCTTACATGCCTCATTAAATGAAGGGGTGCAGGAAGAAGACTTATATTTTGTCACACATGGGAGATCTGACATGTTACAGGCAATAGAAATTGAAGGAGACGAAGGAGCGTGGGGTTTGTTTTGTCTCCTTCTATTTGCACGTTAATTGAAAGAGCCCCGAGCAATGATCACGGGACTAGTATAAATGGAGCTCTTGGAAGTGAGAAACGGAGAGCTTTCCTAAATAGCTTCCATGTTTTCTTCTTTGAAATCGCATGCCTTGATTCAGTATTGTTTGCTTAGAGAAAAGTAGACAGTTAAGCGATGAGTTAACAGCATAAATCACTCCAAACAAAATTTCCCAATAAACACTTATTCTAGATAGATTTACTGAATTGGCCAAAAAAAAAATCTGAATTGGCACAATTACACTAAGTTTATGATTATTTTAGTAATTTTCCCACCAAGTTGACATGCGATGATTGACTTGAGTAGGCAGTGATCTCGTGCTCCCAATGTCTAGTATGGTCCTTGGGCGCTGTGTCTAGCCATTGCAAATCTTTGCAATGACTAGACGGAGCGCCTAAGGACCATACTAGGTATGGTGACCTTTGTATGCCTCTTAAGACTATTTCCTCAAACTCAAGACATCTAATTAAGTTCGAATTCCAACCCCAGTACCCAAACTTGGAACCTTGAGGCTCTAGACTCGAGGGCTCGTATTCGAACCTATGACCTTGATGTCGTACCTGGAACCTTGGGGTACTTGACTTGGGATACTGATCCCATTGCCTATTCTGCAATGTGGGGGCACGAACATCCCATGTCCAACCCTTTCTAGGTCGGACTCCAAAGTCTTGGAACTTGACCTAAGGCTCATAGGTCCAGCACTCAGGGTTTCGAGCTTGGCCGCGTGAGGTCCGAATCCTAAGCATAAGGTCTGGTGTCCGAGTCTTAACCTAAAGATCCCGTGTCAGATTCCGAGGGTCCCAATTGTGGCGTCAAAGTCTTGGTTCGAGCACTAGGGTGCTAGGTCCTCCCCTCGAGGTTCGGAGCTAGGTGCTAGAGTCCTACGTTCGAGCTTTGGACAACGAGGATAATAATGTTGGTGGGGAGGTCAAGTTGGGATGTGAAATATTGAATTTCAATCTTTAGGAAGCATAAATCCTTTTTCGTAATTAGATATATATATATATATATATTTCTCATTCGCATTTAAAAAAACAATAAATAAAAGATATATTCGTCATTCCTCCTTGAATTCTTTGTTTGTTTTCTGTTTTGTTGGTGCCACGTTCCATATTTTGTATCCCCACCGACCAAAATATTCATATTTTAATACATATGCGATTGAATTTATAAGGCAACTATCGAGATATGAGAATCTTTCTGACCAATATTATTGTCTATACTTACCAAAAGCCTTGGTATAATCCAGTCATTGCCACTATAATGATAGACAAAGAAAACGTGCCCATAACTTTAATTATATAAATTCGTATAGAGAAAAGGCAAAAGCACATTATTCTATATGGACCGTTGATTAAATAAATGGGAATTCAACACTTGAAACATGTGACTAGAATCTCCCCACCAATGCACAGGCAACTTCTCAGCAACTGCAACATGGGGAGCTAATAATGTAAAAAATAGATCGAATGATTGAAAATTATGATTTTTTAAAGCTAGCTCAATGTATTTATATATCTCCCACTTTGGTCATCCTCTCAACTGTTCCACTGTAGTCCTTCAATCATCAGCGATACAAACTATACACAAGTCAATAGCTGGTTGATCGCCTGTAGAATGCTTCCAGAAATCATGAGTCCCTTTGAGACCCATCAATTCGATGTCTTGAAATCAATTTGCGACCATCTTCTTCAGGATGATGATGTTGCTGAGAATGCTGCAGTTTTTGCAGCAAGGAGTTCGAGCTTCAGCGATCTTTTGCTGACGGAAAGCTGGAGCGAACTGCCTCTGAAAGTCGACGACTCAGAGGACATGGTTGTCTACGGCGCTCTGTGCGAGGCGCTCAGTTCTGGGTGGGGGATGCCTTCGGTTTCGAATCAAGAACTTGATTCCGAAGTGGCGACCATTGATAATGACACCATTGGTCTGGAGGTGCAGAAGAGACCGGAGGAGATGGTGGAGCTTGAGATGCGAGCATCGGTCAAGAAGGCGCATTATAGAGGAGTGAGGAGGCAGCCATGGGGAAAATATGCGGCGGAGATAAGAGACCTCAAGAAGAATGGCGTGAGGATTTGGCTTGGGACTTACGAGACGCCCGAGGATGTGGCGTTGGCCTATGACCGGGCTGCTTTCAAGATGAGAGGGTCCAAGGCCAAGCTCAACTTCCCTCACCTCATCGGCTCGGCCGAGTACGAGCCCGTTAGGGTCAGCCCCAAGCGTCGGTCCACCGAGCCTAGCTCACCGTCCAGTGATGACGGGTCAACCAGGACGAAGAGGAGAAGGAGAGAGGTCGATTCAGATGCTGAGGTGGAGTTTGGAACTTCAATCCCTTTTCCCATTTTGGATATGGGCTTGTTAGGTGTGGACGAACAGTTTTTATTTTGATTGTGCGCACTGTCCAGACATTTTCTTCATTCTGACCCAAAAAAAAAAACAGACATTTTCTTCATCAATGAAAAGTCAATCAGGCAATTTCGTGTTGTGCAAAGACTGTCAATTTGGTTTTGCCTATTCCATTTCCTTGAGAGTTTGGTCAGAAAAACCAAAACCGTTTCTAATTATGGATCTACCAATACAAAAGTGACTAACAAAGTCAAAGAATGCTTAGTGAAATTTCCCTTATATTCCGGGAAATAGCAGGCTCTAAATTAAACATAAAGAGCAATATACAGAGTCTAAGTCTTGAAATAGAGTTCCCAGCTTTGTCAAGGTTCGAAAGACACATAGCATCAGGAGGAGGTTCGAACAAAATACAAGATGGTTCTTTCAGCATCCTTTCTTTCTGAGCAAAGCTTATCCACACATCGGTTTCCTTCCCTGCAAGCGTGCCTGATTAACCCTCTAGAAATGTTCCAGGAAAGTCCTAAGATCATTCAAAAGGGAAACGGAAACAAGATTATTCTAAAAAAATTTGATAGGAGTGTCAATACAATTAGCGGAGCATCCACCTCCGTCTCCGAATGAGTGATGTGGAGGTCCTTAACAAGTTTCATACCATCTCCAATGGCCCAAAGTTTGGCCGCAGAACTAGTGGTATGGTCAATGAAGCGAGTAAAACCAGAAACCCAATTGCCATTTGCATCCCCGATTAAACCTCACTGACCCGCGATACCAGGGTAACCAATAGCCGAGCCATCGATCTTTGACTCGAACCAATTCGTGGCCGGGCGAGTCCATTGCATGAAGACAGTTTTCCTCGCAGGGTGGTGTTTCCTTTTCTGCATAAACAGCATGGTGTTGCAGCAGCTCTCACGAGACAAAGTTCCTTCCAAGTCATGAAACTTGGCCTTGTCTATGCTATCGCATCACGGCCAAAGTTACCAGAGAGCAAAGGGTAAAATGACCTTCTAAGTCCGGACAATGAGGATAATCATCATGGTGGGGGATGTCTAAGTTGGAATCCAAAACCTTGAATTTCAATCTTTGAGAAGCGTAAATCATTTTTCTTATGCGTAGCTATGTTATTGTTGACCATAAAAAAGATTTTCTGTTGATTTCTTTTATTTTCAAATGATGTCAAACAGTACAAAATTGGGAAATATTTTTCTACAAATGGTTTTTCACGAAATAAAAAAAAGAAAATGACTTTTTAAATATCATCTCGTGTACGTTGCTTGTAATTTTCCATTACCTGCGCTTCTTGTTTTCTTTTTTTCGTTTTTTCTGTCACATTATGCACGTTTCCACGCCACCAAAATTTCCTTTTTCCTCAAGCATCGCTAATTGGATCCATTAAGCACCTTCAGATCTGAAAACCATTGTCCTTCCCCAATAAAATATGAAGTAGCGTGCCCCATGCTTTACGGAATTCTAATTAATGAAATTATGTCACTTCGTGTCCCTTCATGATTAAGGAAGTCTAATTGAGCATTTGAAACGTGCTGAGAATCTCTCTGGCCATCACCAGATGCAACTTCTTGGAAGCTCCAAAGTGTCTTGAAACTTGGAGCTGAGAATTTGTAAATAAACTATTTAAATGATGATCCCCACAACGCAAGCTCAACCTCTATATATAGCTCCCACTTTGACGATCTTCTCAGCTATTCAGTCTTGCTTCAGAAACCAAAATCATCCCTTCAATCTTCCACAATCAGTGACCTCAAAGCTACAAATTCTAGCCAAAGACGATAATGCTTCAAGAGATCTTCAGTCCCTTTGAGACCGATCAATGCGATGTCTTGAGATCAATTTGTGAGCATCTTCTTGAAGATGGTGATGATGGTGTCAACGCAACGTTTTGTACACCAGCTCCTGCAAACGCGTACTCGAGGAGTTCAAGCTTCAGCAGTCTTTTGCTGACGGAGGGTTGGGGCGAACTGCCCCTCAAAGTCGACGACTCTGACGACATGTTGGTGTACGGCGCTTTGTGCGAAGCGCTCCATTCCGGGTGGACGATCCCTTCGTCTTCGGATCAAGAACTTGATTTGGGAGTGACAACCATTGATTGTAACAACATTGGTCTGGCTTTGAATCAAGAACTTGATTTGGAAATGATGACCATCGATTATAGCAGCGTTGGTACGGCAACGGAGGAGAAACCGGAGATGGTGGAGCATGAGGTACAAGTGCCGGTCGAGAAGACACATTATAGAGGAGTAAGGAGGCGGCCGTGGGGAAAATATGCAGCGGAGGTAAGGGACCCCAAGAAGAACGGGGTAAGGATTTGGCTCGGTACCTATGAGACACCCCAGGACGCAGCATTGGCCTATGACCGGGCAGCTTTTAAGATGAAGGGGTCCAGGGCCAAGCTCAACTTCCCTCACCTCATCGGCTCCACCGAGTACGAGCCCATCAGGGTCAGCCCCAAACGTCGGTCTGCCGAGCCTAGCTCACCGTCCACGTCCAGCGATGATGGCTCGATGACCGGGACGAAGAGGAGGAGAAAGAGAGAGGTCAATGTGGATGCTGAGGTGGATTTTGGAAGTCCAATCTCCCTTCCCATTCTAGACATGGGCTTGTTGAGTGTGGATGAACAATTTTTATTTTGATTGTGAAAACTGCAAACACCATATATTTGATCAATGAAAAGCCAGTCAGGCAATTATCGTGTAGAAACTATCAATTTAGTGTTTTTATTCCATTTCATTAGGGCTTGTGAGGAAAAACCAAAAACCTTACCTGTCCCCAACTCCCACTTAAATGCGCGTTCGTTGTACACATGAAAAGAGGAGAAAAAAATGCCTTCACGTTAGATCAATCAACAGTTACCTTTTTTTATTGGGAAAGTCACGTCAGTTCTAAATTTATTATATTAATATCAATCTAGTCTTAAAATTTATAAATCTAAACCTTTGCGCGAAATTTTAAAGTAACCCTTCCAATAAATTGCCATTGGAAATGCTAATATGACAGTTCACGTAAAATGTCTTTTATGTAAAGTTGTTAACGTCAGCGTGCCACGTAAAATGGCTGGCGACAACTGGACGCTATATCAATCATATATAGCAAAAATTGGCGGAAATGACTAGCGCAATTTGCTTTAGGATTATATCGGCAAAATTGGAAAGTTTAGGACTAAACAAATAATTGCATGATAAGTTTAAGAATTGGTAGTCATCTTCTTTTTATGTGATAATTACTATCAACATGAATAAGTTTATAGTTAGTAACTACGTAGAAAAATTTCAACACGTATATGTTCTCTTTTGGCCAAAAATTAGATGTTAAAAGTTTTTTCTTTTAAGGAAGCATACTTTAGAAACAATGAAGCATTCTCGCCTGGGCTTTCAAATGAGGTAGACATTTTTTTTTTCCAATCACTTGATTTTAGAAGACTTAAACATGTTTTTTGAACAATTTACAAGATTAAAGTGCACAACGTTAAGACCCTTAGACTTGGGACCCTGGTGCCCGAACTTGGAACTATAAAGGTCGAGCCTAGGACCTAGATTTGGGGCCTCGAGGCTTAGACCTGGATATGGGACCTAGGCGGCCAGAGTCGAACCTAGGACCTTGGCATCAGACTTACAACCTTGGAAACTTGACACAGGACATTGACCCTTACGAGATCCACATTCTTGGGGCTAGGATTCCATTCCCAACCCCATATCTCAAGTTGGGTGTCAAAATTCAGAACCTGGCAATAAGGTTTTAGGTCCCACATTTACGATTTGGGGTCCGACTGCTTCTGTCCAAATGCTAGGCCTAGGTCTCGAGTCTTGCCCGCTAGGTCCAAGGTGTAAGGGTCAAGGTCCTAGATCTGAACTTAGTTCCAATGTTCAAGTGATGAGGTTTGTTTGGATGTCAATTTGCGTCCAAACCTCTGGGCCGCGATTTAGACTCTCAAGGTCCTGGTTTTGATCCAAGAGTCCTGGAAGTAAGCACTCGAGTGTTAGGTCCATCACTCAAGGTTCGGGGCATGGATGTCGAGGTCGTGGTCTATAGTTTGGGCGCTAGGGTCTTAGGTCACATGTTTGGATGACAAGGGTACTCATGGCAGCGGTGGAGAGATCAAGTTAAAGTGTGAACATTGAAATTTATTGACTTTTAAGTAGCGAAAATCATTTTTGGAAATTTATGGATAGAAAAGTTTTTTGGTGATCTAAATAAGCTTTTCTGTTGACTTTTTTCCAAGTGATTCCAAAGAATGACAATGCAAAAAAAAAAATTAATTTATGATGTTCGATTTTTGGCAGGAAACAAACTAAATGAAGTTCTTCCTAAAAATATACTGTGTCACCATTATGGTAAATTGTAATAAAACATTGTAACTGCCTATAACTTTCGGTAGGTTACACCAACAAACCTGAAATAAAGTTGATGGTCATAAATTTAGAGATAAGTGCATCAAAAGTCCTATAATTTAAGTTTTAACATTCAATTATACTTTTCGAAAATTTTAAAACTCAAAGACGATCTAGTTGCTAAGGTCGCGACCTTTAAATTTTTTGTGCTCCAGGAGCACCAATTGCAAGTTTTAAAACTTAATTGTAACTTTTAAAAGTTGTAAAACTCAACTGTATTTTTGGACAAGTTTTAGAATACACTTATCCTTACTTTTTTCAGTAACTTTAAGACGGTTACTAGCCCCGATTAAAACTTAATAGCACATTAAAAAAAAATCCGTACATTTGAATGCAGAATAATACAGCTCTGTATCCTTCTTTTTTGGTCAAACGCGTATGTGATTTGACCAATAGGGCACCACACATCAGATCTAAAAACCTTAATTTACTCACAAGAAGCATGCAAACATCATTGTCCTTCCCCAATAAAATAAAACGGAGCGTGCCCCACGCTTGGCTTTTTCAATTGAGAACGGAAAATAAAAAAATATTAATTCATGTCTTTCGTGATTAAAAAATTCTTATCGAGCATTTGAAACATGTGTTGAGAATCTTGTTAGTCATCACTAAATGCACTTTCTCAGAAGCATGATCTAAAATAAATTGGAGCTAAGAATTAATTATTTATATGTTGCAATAATTACCAGTCAAGCTGTCAAGCTCAACCTATATATAGCTCCCACTTTGATGGTCTTTTCAACTATTCGCTCTTCAGAAGCCAAGTCACCCCTTCAAATCTTCCAAAACCAGTGACCACAAAGCTACAAATTCTAGCCAAAAACGAAAATGCTTCAAGAAATTTTTAGTCCCTTTGAGACCCATCAATCCGAAGTTTTGAAATCCATTTGTGAGTATCTTCTTGAAGACGATGATGATGATGATACTGTCAACGCAGCATCTCCTGCAGCAACTCATGCGGACATGTACTCGAGGAGTTTGAGCTTCAGCAATCTTTTACTAACGGAGAGTTGGAGGAGCCAACTGCCCCTAGAAGTCGACGACTCGGAGGATATGTTGGTGTATGGCGCTTTGCGTGACGTGCTCAACTCCGGGTGGACGATGCCTTCGGTTTCGAATCAAGAACTTGATTTGGAAGTGACGACCGTTGATTATAACAGCATTAGTCCGGCGACAGAGAAGAAACCGGAGACGGTGGAGCGTGAGGTACAAGCACCCGTCGAGAAGACACATTACAAAGGAGTGAGGAGACGGCCGTGGGGAAGTTATGCAGCGGAGATAAGGGACCCCAAGAAGAACGGGGCGAGGATTTGGCTCGGGACTTACGAGACGCCCGTGGATGCGGCATTGGCCTATGATCGGGCCGCTTTTAAGATGAGGGGGTCCAAGGCCAAGCTCAACTTCCCTCACCTCATCGGCTCGGCCGAGTACGAGCCTGTCAGGGTCAGCCGCAAGCGTCGGTCCGCTGAGCCTAGCTTGCCATCCGTGTCCAGCGACGACAGCTTGACGACGAGGGCGAAGAGGAGAAAGAGAGAGGTCAATGTGGATGCTGAGGTTGATTTTGGAAGTCCAATGCCCTTTCCCACATTGGATATGGGCTTCTTGAGAGTGGATGAACAATTTTTATTTTGATTGTGCAAATTGCAAAGGCATTTCCTTGAATATTGAAAAGTCAATCAGCAATTTATCTTGTAGAAACTATCAATTTCGTATTTTTATTCCATTTCCATAGAGTTTGTCAGAAAAAATTCACGCAGTATAAACCTGACTAATTGCGTAATAATATTACTAATGATAGATTAACCAACGGTAGAAATACCTTTTTTACATGACACTAGAGTTAAGATCTCAAGTTTGATTTTTTATATAACGTCCATTTTAGTCATTCATTTATGACTTTTATTTTAATCCAAGTCTTGAATTTTTACAGAAACTTCCATCCACACGTGCTAAGTTTGCTTGCTTCTGAGTTTCGTCATTCGTAAATTATTTAAAATTATTTATTGGTGTATGCCGTGATGATTAAGTATGTTTGCTCAAGCAAAGCAAAGGTTAAGCAACAAATTAAAAACATAAATAAAGCAAATTCCCCCCTAAAAATTGGTTTTAGAGAGATTTTTAGGTATTTTGAGAGTACAATGTACGTAGCCACGCATATCATGATGGCATACGGTGTTTGGCTCGGGTGGGCAATGCCTCGTGTTCCAAGACAGCCTAAAGATTGATGGCATACGGTATTTGCCATCGATCCATATCTTTCTGTTGCAGGCTTCCCGGTGCATTCCCAGTAGCCGAACCGGTGAAGAATTGCTTCGCCGGTCTCGTAGCAACAAACGCCGATGCACCAAGTTTTGCTGTAGTCTTGCTGCCCTCTTCGCCAGTCATGTGATTCTTGGTCGGCTGCCGTTCGTGAGTCCTCTGCCGTCGTTCCCAAGATCCACCGGTTCATCAAGTTGGAAACAAATATTCAAATTTAGCAAGTCTTCAATTCACACTAATCCCAAGAAAGCAAGAGTTGGATCAATCACACGAATTATTAAAAATTTGCAAAGAAAGATATAGGCGTGTAAATAATTATTATGTCCACGTAATTAATAATTGAAATGAGCAAATAAATTGTTACACCGGAGACAAAACATAGCCAAAATAAAAAAAACTAACTATATTAATTACAAAGACTAGTTTGGTTAAAATTGTTTACATTGAACATAACCCCTACACCCTAAAATTTGGATAATTCAAAGTAAAGTTACAACTCAAACTGTGTTTTTAAATTGAATTGAAGAATTTAAAATAGAGTCATTGCAGATACAAAAGTTGGATACCTAATCTCCAATAAGCTCAATCGGTAACTCTCGAATTACAGGGTTAAATTCACTCCTCGTAATTAAATAGTAATGGATTTTGTAATTTGAACTTTTATATTTATGGTAATAAATTTCATTCGTTTATAAGTTATGCAAAATTTTCAAGTCAACTATTGTTGTGGCAGGCAGTATGGCCAATTTTCTGAACGTGCCACTTCTATCACGTCGTCATCAAATCAACATTTAACTGAAAATTCTATATAAATATATTATTATAGAGTACTCCGTAAAAAGTCTTTTATGAGTGTCACTTAGGCTGCACATGACAATCATTTTGTACTCAGAATTAGATTCTGGACAGAAATGATTCTTTTTTATTCTGTGCCCGGAAACAATTTCTAAGCATTTAAAGGCGTTTGATAACTGTCCAAAATTTCTGTTCTTAGAATAAAAAAAGAACAAAAATGCGTTTGATAACTATATAAATTTTTTTTTTATTAATAATATTTTGAATTTTGAATTTTTCTTTTCTTTTTTTTTTCTTTCTTTCCTCTTCCTTTCTTGGCCATGGCCGGCCATAGGCCAGGGCCGGCGAGGGCGTCGCGGCCCTCGCCGCCGGCCTCGCCTTGGCTAGGCGAGGCTCGACCTCGTCGTCGCTAGGGTTAGCGGCGACGACGGTCAGCCTCGCCCAGCCAAGGCGAGCCGGCTCGCCATCGCCACCCGTGCGATGGACCCGGGTGGTGACGACGAGGTCGGCCTCACCTTGGCTAGGCGAGGCCGCGAGCCGCCCCTCGCCACCGGCGAGGGCCGCGACGCCTCGCCGGCCACGGCTTGTGGTGGCGGCCGACGACGGCGGGGCTGAATAACAACAACCAAAAAAAAGAAAAAAATCAAGAAGAATCAGTTCTGAAAAAATTATTCCAGAATCAAGAAGCTACTTTTTTTTTTATTCTTGATTCTGTTCCAAAACTGATTCTGGGCATAAAAAATTTAACAAACGGATTTCTATTCCCAAACTGATTCTGGGAACAAAAGAACAGAATCAGTTACTATTTGGCAAGTTGCCAAACAGGCCCTTAGACTTCTAATTTGCAAGATGTTGATAATTCTCCTTGCAAGGGGAACTATTCTTGTGCTTTCCACTCACTACAAAAAAACCGGGTTTTTCCGACGAAAATTTCCGACGAAAAAATTTTCGTTGGAAATTTGCAACGACATTTCCAACGAAAAATAAATTTGTCGGAAATTTACGACGAAAAATTCTTCGTCGGAAATTTGCGACGAAACAATTTTCGTCGGAAATTTCCGACGAAGCACTTTTCGTCGGAAATTTCCGACGAAATTTCCGACGAATCACTTTTCGTCGGAAATTTCCTACGAAATTTTCCGACGAAATATTTTTCGTCGCAAATCTCCGACGAAATTTTCTGACGAAATATTTTTCGTCGGAAATTTCCGACGATTTTATTTTTCGTGGGACATTTCGTTGCAAATTTCCAACGAAAATTTTTTCGTCGCAAATTTCCGACGAATTTTTGCGACAAAAAAATTTTCGTCGGAAATTTCCGACGAATTTTATTCGTGGCAAATTTGCAATACGAAAAATGATTTTTTTGATATCCGTCCCGACCCCTAATTTCTCTCTCGTCATCGATTCCTCTTATCCCTCGCTGTTTCTCTCTCCGTCTCTCTCTTTAATTTCTCTCGAATTACTTATCGGTGCACGCGCAAATCAATCTCGGTAAAGCTTTTTCGTCGGTAAGTGTCGTGGCTAATTTCATGAATAATTGGCGACGAAAACGGTTCGTCGCAAAATTATTCATCGCTGGATTTGTATTTGTTGGTGTTATTAAATTTTTTTTTTTCCTTTCCTCACTGGTTTGGCCGATCGCCGGCCATGGTGCGAGGTCCGGTGGCCTGGCCATGACCGTCGGTCGACCTCGCCGATGCACAGGTGGGCTAGCCTCGCATGGGCCTCGCCCGCCAAGCTCGCCGGCCATGGCGAGCTCGGCCCGGCCCGGCGAGGGCGGCCCTCGCCGGCACGGCGAGGGCCGATCTCGCCATGGCCGGTGAGCTCGAGCTCGAGCTCGCCCGGATGTGGGTGAGATTTGGGCCTCGCCGCCATGGCGAGCTCGAGCTCGGCGGCGGCTTGGCTTGCCCTCGTCGGCGACCGGCGAGGGCCGAGCTCGCTGGCGGCTTGGGCGGCCCTCGCCGGCGGCGAGGGCCGAGCTCGCCATGGCCGGCGAGCTCCGGCTCGCCCGCACCTCGGCGAGATCCGGGCGACCTCGAGCTCGCCGCGGCTTGGGCTGTCCTCGCGGCACGCGGCGAGGGCCGAGCTCGCCATGGCCGGCGAGCTCCGGCCGCCCGGACCTCGGCGAGATCCGGGCGACCTCGAGCTTGCTCGGCGGCTTGGCTAGCCCTCGCCCAAGACCGGCGAGGGCCGAGCTCGCCCGAGATCCGGGCGAGCCGGAGCTCACCCGCGGCTTAGGCGGCCCCCGCCTAAGATCGGGCGAGGGCCGAGCTCGCCATGGCCGGCGAGCTCGAGCTCGCCCAGATCCGGGCGAGTTACGGGCGAGCTCGGCCTCGCCGGTTCCGGCCAGGGCCAGCCTCGCCGCCGGCGAGCTTGAGGTCGCCCAGAACTTGCCTAGGCGAGCTCGCCGGTCGCCGGACCGGCGACCGGCCAAGAAGAAAGGACAAAAAAAAAACGAAAAAGAAAAAAAAAAGAGAAAAAAATAAAAGATAATTAAAAAATTAATTTTAAGTCATTTGTTTTTATTTTAGGTACGTGTCCATTTGAAGGTCTCGCAATCCAAGTGAACGTTGCAATTCTCATCAAATAGACCACTTTCTACTACAAAGGTTTCAGTCAAATACTTGGTAAGTTTTCTTGACATGGTAATTTTTTCATTTTTTTCAAGTTGAAAGTAATTGTTTCGTAAAAAAGAAAATTGTAATTGTTAGAATTTTATGGTTTTAATTAACAATATTAAACAATAGATATGATATTTTTAATATTGTACGAGAATTTTTTTATTTTTATACAGACACAATGCAAAAAGACAGGGGTTGGATGTATAATAAGAACTTATCTGGACGTCAAGGATTGACCGATGAGTTTCGAATCGGGGTGGAACTATTTTTGGACTTTGCTAGTAATAAATGTGAGTTCATGGATGGAAATAAGTTAAGGTGTCCATGTAGAAAGTGCAGTAATGGAAAATTTCAAGACATTGACATAGTTAGAGAACATCTTTGTAGATTTGGGTTTACTCCGAACTATTATAATTGGACTTACCATGGTGAACCATTTATATCTGATGACGGATATCGAAGAAGCGACCAATTGTTAGTTAGGGAAGAATGTAGCTATTATGACCAATTGAACCCATATCAGGGGATGGTGTTTGATGAAGCAGGCCATAATTTTTTTCCAGAATCGAATCATGCAAGTACTGGTTTAACTCCTACACTTGAACAAGTGGAAACTAGTCATGCATCACAATTGGAAGAGCGGGGAGTTACAGGGTTTTGATGAGAATGTGTGTGATGGAACTTTTCAATCTAATTGGTTATGGGAAGAGTTGAAATCGCGAGATGAACCTTTATGGGCGAGGTTGTGACAACCACACGAAGGTATCGTGTGAGCAAGATCGTTAAATATCAAGGCGAGCATAATGTGTACGGGATTGCTTCAACTCTTTTGTTGAAATAATGCGGGAAACAATGCCTCGTGATAACATCATGCCAAGTGACTTTTACGATATGAAAAAGCTAGTGGATAATTTAGGTCTTCCAGTTGTAAGGATTGATGTATGTAGTATGGGT